GAAGGTGGGCAAGGAAGCAGAGAGAAATCCAGCCTGCTCGTTTGCAGAGGGGCATGAGCTGGGCTCATGCTTGCTGAGTGCAGGAGCCTGCTTGGGTTGGCAGGTGCTTTGGTAACGAAAATATTTTATCCTGAGTTACATAATGCAGCAGCATGTCCAGATCTGAATTCCCTGCAATTTTCTGGCCTGCAAGGAATAATTTTCTGCTTGAAATATTAGCCTTAGCTCTGAATTTTGTGGCTCATATGGCATATGCAATCAATGTAATATCTGTATATATAACTGCTGCTGTTTGAACTTGATGTTTGGGTAAATTTATTTTTGTTTATAGCTGTTGGGTGATGAAGAACAGAAAATACTTGTTTATTAAGAACTATATAAATACATCAAAACCTGCCCTGGGCTACTGCTTAGATCCAGGAGGTAAAAAGGCTGCAGATTCTTCTCTGTGTCTAATTGCAGCACTAGGTTGTGGTGGGGTTTTGAGGTGGGATAGAGCTGAGGTGCAAATTATCAGCATTCCTGGCTTGATATAGTTTTGGTCTTAATCCTTAAATGGGGTGAAACCTTTGCAGCTGTGGATAGTTTGTTTTTTGTTCTGTTTTGTTTCTCATCCAGCTGCCTACTGGGTAGAAAACTGGTGGGATGGCTGAGCCCAGAGAGAGGTGGTGAATGCAGTTACATCCAGCTGGCAGCTGGTCCCAGGTGGTGTTCCCAAAGGCTCAGTTTTGGGGACGCTCCTGTGTAATGTCTCTGTCAATGATCTGGAGAGGGGATCAAGGGCACCCTCAGTCAGGTGGCTGGTGGCAGTCAGGTGGATCACATCAAGTGGAGTGGGAATGTTGATCTGCTGGATGCCAGGAAGGCTCTGCAGAGGGATCTGGACAGGCTGGATCTGATCCTCTGTATGAGGTTCAACAAGGCAAAGCTGGGTCCTGCACTTGGATCACAGCAACCCAGGCAGCATTACGGACTGGGGCAGAGTGGCAGGGAAGCTGCCCAGTGGGAAAGGACCTGGGCATGCTGGTCAACAGCAGCTGAACACCAGCATGGGAAAAGCAGCCCACTTCCCTTTTCAGGCGTTTCCCTGGGAGCAGGAACTTGTTTGTACAAGCATGGGTGAGAGGAGGAGAGGTGAAAGTCCCTGGTTTCTGTGCTTTTGGTTTGGGTGCATCTCACCAGTCTTTCAGTTGAATTGGAATTAATAACTGAAGAATATTGAGAGCATTTATTGCACTGTCTTGCCCAAATAGAGAAACACTGAGGTTCTGGAGCATGCCCTGAGAAGGGCAATGGAACTGATGAGGGGTCTGGAGCACAAGTCTGATGAGGAGTGGCTCGGGGTGTTTAGTCCGGAGAAAAGGAGACTCGGGGATCTTCTCATTCTACAACTGCCTGAAAGGAAGTTTTAGTGAAGAAGGGGTCAGTCTCCTCTCTCATGTGAAGAGCAATAGGATGAGAGGAAGCAACAAGTTGCATTAAGAGAAATTAGATTGGGATTAGGAAAAATTTCTTCACTAAAAGGGTGATGAAGCACTGCATCAGGCTGCCCAGGGAAGTGGTGGAGTCACCAACCTTGGAAGTGTTTGAAAAACATGTAGATGTGTCAGTTAGGGAAATGCTTTAGTGGTGGACTTGGCAGTGTTGAACTTGATGATCTTGGAGGTCTTTTCCAGCCTTAATGATTCTATGAATCTGTGAAAACTAAGCCTAAAACAAGTCCTTCAGCTGCATTTCCACTGATGGACCACTTCTCCAGGTAGAATCAAAGCCCTGCTTCAATTTTTCCCTCCTCACCTCTTGTTCTGTCTAGAGTGACCATGTGTGGGGTTGCATGATGGAGTAAAGCAGAGCAGTGACACAAATAAAATAAAAACCCACAAAACTGATCCTGTGTGAGGCTGGCAGGAACCGCCCATGGAGGCTGTTTGGGATGCCAGCTGCATAAACTGCCTTGGGGAAAAACAGCTGTGAAACCAAATTTTCTGCCCTGCTGCCAGCCTTGGACTCTACCCCTGCTTCATCTCATGACGGGACATGTCTCTGTGCTGTAGTGTTTGTGATTTAAATGAGTATGGTGAGGGGTGGCTGAGGCATGGACTGGCATCCCATCTCCTGCCCCCACTGCAGGGTCTTGTCTCCTCCCGAGGGTGGGACAGGCAGCTGCATCCTGAACACTTGAAACCACTGCAGGGATGTGAGGCAGAGCCTTGTACCTACAAACACAAGAAAAGAGAGAGAAAGAAAAAACCCAAACCCACACCAAAAAAACTCAAGAAAACAAAAACAAATAGAGAAGTTGTGCTCTGCGTTTTGGGTTTTTTTTTAAGCATATAATGCAATGTGCTGTCTTGCTGAGATGCACATTCCCCAGCTGTAGTAAGTAGGGTAGAGGGTAAGACACATCTTCTCTGGGGAGAGGGGAGGGTGTTGTGAGCCTGAGTCAGCAGCAAAGGTCACTTGGCTGCCAGGCTTGGCGTGCAGGAGCAGAGGATTTCATTCCGTGGCCGGTGCAGCGTTGGTGTGTCCAGCAGTGGCAGCGTGTGCGCTCAGAGGGAGGAACACCCTGGGGGGACAGGGCAGCCATGGCCAGCTTCACCTGCCCACTCCGCTCACAAAGCACTGCTCGCTCTTCCTTGCTGCTTCCTTTGCTTTCTCCCTTCCCATGCCCTGAGCTCTCGTATCTCTGCAGTTCTGGCATTTAATCTCATCGTTGCCTGATTTGTTTTATGGTCTTGGCTCGTCTTTCGGTTCCCGTTTGGGGTCATTATCACATATGATTAGTCCTAGAGCCTAATGAATGGGATCAGACATAACTCTAGGGTATGTCTGAGCCATTTAGCATTTCTGACCTCAAAGATCTGCAGAGAAAGTTTATTTTTAAGCTTCCTAAGAAGATAAATTTGAATTTTGGATTGTTTAGGGTGCGAGTAATGGAACTGAAATCTCTCTGGGTGGAGCATGTCCTCTGGGGTATGAAGGATCCCAGGAATAATTATGCAGTGCTGCGTGAGTATCATTAGTCTTGAAATAGACTTTTGGTGGATGATCACGTTCTTCTACATGGCAGAAGCTAGTGTGAAACCTTGAAACCTTATATTAACATTTAGTCTTCATTTAAGAGCACTGTCAATGTGTGTTTAATACTGCTTTTGTTATCCAGTCCCACTCTGGGAAAGCCAGTCACGAAGATATGGAACAATTGTAACAAAGTAAGAACCCCGGAAAATAAAAAAGGGCTCTTTTTTTGGGGCTGTTTTTTAAGGTCCCACTCTTTCACTCTGCTAAGAGAGGAAGGATCTGCAAGGACTTGTGTGCTGGAGCAAGGTGAAGTCAGAGCATCCTCAGGACATCTCCAGCTGCTGCTGTTTGGTGGCACTGTGCTGTGCTGTGTCCCTGACCTGGGTGAAGTGACACGTCTGTGCAGTGACTCAGCTGTGTTCCTACTAACCATCTGCTGATGTGATGCAGCTCATTAGTCACTAATTGGTGTGGTTACCCTTTTTTTAGGCTGTTGGAAAGGCCAAGGGCCACATAGATGTGAAGCAGCTGAGTCAGTCTTCTACCTCTTTTGCCCTCAGGTCCACCAGACTCTTGGTGGTGCTTGGAGAGCTCTTTCAATGTTCTCTGCCAGGCAGAAACAGACTGTCTCAGCTTTATCTTGTACTCTCTGATTGACTGTAAGCCTGTCACAGCTGTTTGGTGGGACTGGAGTCTGTAGCTGGAGCCTTCTGGTGTGTGTCAAAATGAACCCTCCAAAGGAAGGACCTTTGGAGGCAGTGGGAGACAGCACCCTGACTTTGGACTGAGCATGAGAAGCTGGTTTCTCCCAGCCTGCATTTGCTCCCTTCATCAGCTCTGTAAAAATCCTCTAAGCAATCTGGAGATTTACCGAGGATAGCACTTCTGTAATACATTTTTTCCCCCCATTCCCCACCCATCTGCCCCATACTCCTGCTACACTTACCATCCTTGGCTCTATCACCTCATTCTTTACCTAATCTATAGGTACTGGTGCGTTAGGTACTGATGTTTTGGTTTTGCCTTACATGCTATCTGAACTGATGGTGTGTAAATCTGTCCCTTTTCTGATACCTTGAGGGCAGGTCTTTGATGCTGTGTGTAATACCTAGATCCTCCTGGACATAGCTGGATTTGGACACTGTCCTTTGCTTTCTTGTCTCTGGGTTTTTCTTTTTGCCTAAAATCTCCACCTGAATCTCTTCTGGCTGTTGTTGCATTCCTGGGAGGTTACAGACAGGAAGTGTTCTGGATAATTCCTAAGCTCTTCTCAGTTCACGTCCCACTTGAGCAATCTAAAGATTCCTCACAAAACTAAAGCAAATTATCAGAGTATTAATATTTCTAATAGCATCTATTATTTCTTTTCTTCTAAAACCCTCTCATATTTCAGCTAAACTGTTATCCCACTTTTCACTACACTTTTAGCACAAGATGTCTTCCTGTTTTTAAGGCAAGCAAAGTGCTCTTGTTTTAAAATGAAGTCCCCTACCTGTTCTGCCCTCATTTGTGCCCAAGCCCTGCTCTGTGTGCACCCAGTGTGCTCCTGGAGTCGCTCTTGGTGGGATTTGGGATATTTCCCCCACAGGAGTCAGTTACATGATCCCTCAGACAATGTGATAAAGTCCATGCTGTCCTTTGGAGCTGATGTAGTAAAAAGCAAAACAAACATTTGGGAAAATCTAGGAATCAGTGTCTCAGGTTTGTGGTGCATTGTTTGGAAAGCTGAAACCAGCATCCCTAACTTGTGGGAAGCCAGGTGAGACCAAAATGGGGCCAAGGTTTCACAGCAGCTGACTTTGACTACGTGGATGCCCCGGCTCAGAGTGAAAAGTGTTCTTCTCCCTTATCGAGGATCCATGTGCGTGCCAAGAGACCTTTGTTCTGAGTATTTGGAGTAATAAAGTTCAGCTGGGATAAAAGGGCATGTCCCCACCGACTCGGTTCACACAGCGTCGTGCTCTCTGTCTCTCTTGCAGCTGCGTAAATGAGTATGGAAGATTATGATTTCCTCTTCAAAATTGTTTTAATCGGCAACGCGGGGGTGGGGAAGACCTGCTTAGTCCGTCGCTTCACTCAGGTAAGGCTGGCTGCCTCTTGGGTTGTGGAATGCTGGGATGGGGACAGCACTGGCACGGGAGCGTGGAGCCTGAGGCTCTGCACTGTAGGGCTCTGCCAGCGTCACAGCTCCAAAGCGTTTTGTTGCTCAGACTCTTGGTGCATGCATCACATGCAGTGACATACTGGCACAAGCAGTGCATTGTATCTAATGCTGCTCCTGGCCCTGTTCTGGAGTTTGTGTTGGAGAAACCTCATTCCTCTCTGAAGGTGGAAAGTTACCTCTGAAAGCCACCAGGACAACTCCTCCTGTTTTGGTGGTGTTTTGGACCAGTTATAAGACCAGCACATCTCCTGGTCTCCTCCCCAACCTTTGCCGCACAAAGTGCTCCCTGTTATCCTTAGTAAAGAAATAATCTGGGTCCTGAGCTGTCAGTCCAGTGTCCTTTTTTTGTGGCAGAATAGCCTCTGTGATCCAGGGCAAGGGAAGACTTTGCATGATGCATCATAAAGCACAAGTTGTGGGATTTTGGACTCTCCACTAGGAATTGTCAGCAATTTTGCCCTTCACTGTTAATTTTAGTTTTGAAGCTATAGTGATTTTAGATGCTCTCTGAAAACATGTGGCAGCCAGTGGCAATAAACATAGCCATACCCAAAAGGTTTACAGCAAAAATCTTTGGCAACTTCTGCTGCTTGTTCTTTGGCGGCACAGCTGCTGTAGGGGATGGATGTGCCCCAGAATCCACGTGGCTTGGTAGACCAGAAATCAAAAAGCTCTCATTTGGTTTGCTGCTGCTGCTTTCTGATGGTGCTGCAATCAAATACCACCAGCATTGTGCTGTCCCTTGCCATTGCTGTGGCACTGGTGATGGCTGGCGCTGTGCTTTGCTCCTGAAATGCTGTGACCCCATTGTTGAGAGCTGCCAGAAATGCCTATCAGTGCCATAGGGTGCTGTGGAGGGAAAAGGGAAGGTTACAAATGCATCTCATTTCACACAGATGTTCACACACCTTTCAGTGCATTGGGAAGTAGGATGGAAGGTCCTCACCCTTCCCCTGCTTCTTCCAACTGTTCAGAAGAGTTTCCCCCCTCTCTTTTTTCCTCCTTTTCTTTTCCTGTGCTCTTACTTCTGAAGCCGATGACTTGCTGCATAATTAGGGATGTATAAGGCAGGGAAAACACAATTTGAATTTATGGTAACCTTCATGCTGGGGAAATGTGACACTCTAAATGCAATGAAAGTAATTGTCATGGGAAGGGGACATCGGATGAATAGTTTTGGAGATGGAAAAGGGTGCAGATTGGCACCCAGGTAGACTTTTGTCTTGTAGAAATAAGTTTAATCAAACTCTTGTTTTCTTCCAGGGGCTTTTCCCACCAGGGCAAGGAGCCACGATCGGGGTTGACTTTATGATTAAAACTGTGGAGATAAACGGTGAAAAAGTAAAGGTAGGAGCCTGATGATTTAAAATGTAAATACATGTGGCAGTACCATAGCTGAAGTTTCTTGCTGCAGCCCTTCCTCTGCTGGAAGACACTCAAGGAAGGTCAGGGCTGTCTGGCATGGCTTGGGCAACGCAGGTTCTATCAATCCATGTGCCCCTCTCCATTACTATCAGGACTGTAAAAGTGAACCTGCTGGAGGGGAGAAAATGGAGCAGGGAGACCTTGCAAAACTGTTTTCCTTGCTTAGGAGACAGTGAGCTCATGCCTAGCTTGAGGAAGCCCAAAGAAGCATTTCAGTGCAGCCTCTGCTCACTGTGTTTCTGGTAAGCAGTATTTTGTTGCATTCCCACTGGGATGTGCTTGAGGAAAGTCTTCTCCTGTGAGCTCCCAAGATGGCCATTGAGAACAGACACCTGGACTTGTGTGGTTCTGCACAACACAGGCTCATCTCCCACTTCTGCCAAGTTACGGATTTGGGAGAAGCAGAGCCGATCACAGTACTTGTGTTTCAGCCAACAGGTTGACTGTAAAGGGCAAAGTTCTCCATATTTTTAACTCTTTCACCCTGTAAAATAAGGTGGAAGCCACTTATGGGAAACTGTCCTTGTCCTGAGCTGACTCCCAAACTGAGCCTGAGCATCACTTGGCTGAGAGCTACTTTGCCTGGGCCAAAACACACAAAGCATGAGATTGGTCTCCAATCTCATGCTTTAATGGTGTCCATGGTTGGGTTCCAGAGTCCAGAAATGTTGGCTGCTACCACTTTGTTCATTAGTAGAGATTTCACTTGAGCTGCTCTGGTATCTGAGATGAGAAAAAAAGTTCAGTTATTTGAGCCTCTAATATCAAGATGTCCATGGTCCCTGAGCTTCTCCAGGATTTACTCTGCCTGCAGGAAATTCAGGGGCATCAAAGTGAAAACCAGGAGTTTTTCCCTTGCTGTCTTTATCAAACCCAAGAGTGGCACCAGTGTGACAGTGGCTGGGTGTGACATTGAGACCTGTTCTTAAGCTTGTGTAAGTGATGGGATGGAAACAGTGGACTTGGGCAGATTTTCAGCCCTGGGTTTTTTTAACCTGTACCACAGCACCACAGAGGAGTTTAAGAAGAAAATGGGGTGTTGTGTTGCTAAGTTTAGGACATATTTTGAGAGCTGTGGTCATGTCAAGAAGCTGCGACTCTGCTGCATGAGGAGCTTACAAACCATGGGAAGTGGTGATGCTTCACCAGGAGACCTCCCCACCTGAGCAGGTGAAGGACAAGGGGTAGAAAATCCTTCACCTGATAAAGACCAAGTTTATACTTAGCACGTGGCTGTGCAAATGGGCCAGAGCAGCAGCAGAGAAGCAGAGAGGATCGCGTGTAGCCCAGGTGGTGCTGCTGCTCAGCTTGTTGGTTGTGATGCTCATCAGCAGGGTTGGCCAGGACATGAATGCTGCTTGTCCCAAGCTCTTCAGACACTAGAGTTGTTTCTCTCAGCCAAAAGCAGCTCCAGTGAAGCAACTCAGAGGATCTGAGCTGGTACATGGTGTGATCACTGCACTAGAGGTGGAATTTGTTCTGTCTTGTATACATAGTTTAAATCAGCGGCCTCAAGACTGTTCTGGTCATTAGAGGGAGAAAAGCAGTCCCAGGGGACATGAATCCCATCCACTTCAGACACCTCTCCTTTTCAAGCATCTGGTTCTCTGTCAAATTCTGCTGGAGCTTTGGAACATCACTTGTACATGAGGCCTGGGGTTTGTACTGGTGAACTTACCCTCAGGATTTGTCTGTGTTTGAAGTGTTGCTCCTGTCATATAATCCTGTTTTAAGACAGGGTGCAAAGTTCTTAAGAGAATATTGGAAGCAGTTGTGCCAGTATGAGCTGTCTTGGGGCAAGGATGGTTCAGGGGAGCTCTACAAGCTAAATGAAAAGTCTCTGCTGCCCTGCAAATGTCTGATGAATGCACAAGAGTCCTCTCTGAATCACCTTGGGCAGGATTGTGTGTCACAGAGCCTCGGCAAGTGCTAGCTGGTGTATCTGCTGTATTTCACATGGCCAATACTGGGCTCTAAAGTCCCTCTCCTGCCCCCACCAGTGCAGTAAATTAGAGTTGCTGGAGCTCAGTTTCAGTGACCAAGCCTTGGTGGGAGCTTAGAGTGATACATTTGGGCATTGGAATGAGCCCTCTGGTGTCTGGAAGGCAAACAGATTTCTTTCAGTGGTCTTGTAGCTGAAACTTTTTGAGTAAACAGTGCTTGTGAGAATAAACATTTAATGGGAGGGGAGAGCAGGAATGAGTCAGAGAACAGAGCTGCTGTGGCTGTTAGCCATCTAGCAGTGCCCAAGCCATGACTCTTGCCTCTGTGCTGGGCAGCCTCCCCTGCATGTCTGCTGGGATCCAGAATGAAGGAGCAGAGCTGTTTACCAAAAGTTTTGAGACTTGAAAATAAATTATGGATTTCTGGGGAAAAATGCTTTCCAGCTTTCAAAACAGCATTATAAAATCAGTGGAGAGGGACTCACTAGTATGAAAACGTGTGTGCAAGCTTTTCCAGATATGAGCAGCTACCAAAGCTCACTGCCCAATGAGCTGGGAGAGCACTGTGCAGTTGTGAGGGGATTTTGATCTGCCAGGCTTCTTCCAATAAACTCCAAAAATACGTGCAGCACTTGTAGCAAGAGGCCCCACAAATTGAAGCAAAGCAGATAGCAGTAACCAGGCTGGTCCAAGCTAAGCACCCTCAGTGCTGTGAGCAGAGGGCTGTGCTATATGGGCTTGGTGGAAAGCTAAATGTGTGTGCAAATGTTGGGAGGGCAGGAAGCATCAGCTGACAGCAAGAAAATAAACATCTACGTTTTCTGCAGGCTGAGTCAGACATCATCCTTTGGTTATTCTGGGGGAGAAAAAAAAATTGTTCAAATAAAATAGTTGCTGTGAAATATTTTGCCAGAAATGACCAATGAGGGAAGGTGGGAGATGTGCATTTTGGATGCAGGAAGAGTTTATCAGTGGCTGTAAGACTGGGGGCTCTTCCCTGCCTTTTGCACCCAGCTCCCAGGTAGACTCATGTCTGCTCTCCCAGATCCCACAATCTCTTCTGCTTTCAGTGTTCATTAGATTAAAGCAGTGGAAGAACATATTCACATCAAGGTTTTTATCTATTTAGAGATCTTCTCAATAAAGGCAGAATCTATATAAGCTGGAGTTAGCCAGTAGACAGTGATTAAATGTTTTTCCTGGGAAACAGCTGAATAACAACAAAATCATCTGTATCTTTCCATCTGCCAGAGTTTGGAGGCTGGTTTGTTTTAACAAGGACTCATTCATTATCTGGTTTTCATGTGCAAGTAATTTCTCTTACGGTTTTTTGTGTTACTTTACAGATACCAGGTTCAGCCATTTAAGTACAACTCTGGCAAGAGATTAAAGCACAAATGTGCCCAGGAGCTGTGAGCCAGCCACAATTACTTTCTCTGCAAAAAAAATTGTTATTGTTTTTTTTCTTCCAAAATTATACCCCACATCTAAAAGCTGTTACCGGGAGCTCTCATTTCAAACGAACATATTTATGATGAGTGGCTGGCATAGCTCAGCTTTGGAACTGGGCAAGAATAAGGTTTGCTCTGTACAGGCTGCTGAATATATGGAAAAAAATCTCAAATATTTTACCTTTTTCTTCCCAAAGTACACAGGATTTTGGCTGGAAATCATCCATCCACATATTTAATCCCAGGGAGAGGTACTTTTAAAAAAATAAAAGCTGAAGCAGAGAAATATTCTTTTATCTTGAAATTATATTAATCATGGATGTTTTTCTTAGACTTCCTTTTTGAAGAATTGAGGTTTTGATGACCCACTAAAAACTATCAGATGGTCAAAATATAAAACCAGTATAAGGGTAGTTTCTATTGGGAAACGTAGGTTGTCTTTGTGGATCCAGAGGATTTGGCAAACATTCATGAGTTCTTTGATGGTGGTGAGACACAGGAACAGGCTGTCCAGAGAAGCTGTGGATGCCCTATCCCTGGAAGTGTTCAAGGCTAGGCTGAATAGGGCTTTGAACAACCTGGTCTGCTGGAAGGTGTCCCTGCCCATGGCAGGGGGGTTGGAGCTAAGTGGTCCCTTCCAACTCAAATGATTTTGGGATTCTGTGATGTAGCCAATTCTACATGTTGGGAAGGCAAACAGCGAGGAGCTGGATGAGATGGCTGAAGTTGTAGAGGAAATGTGTTCCAAACCTTAGATAGGCCTTCAGCTGAGCCCCTTGTTCAATCCTGTGCTTTTCACCCGTCACTGCATTGTCTCTGGATAACTGCAACCACCTCCATGAGCTAGAGGAGAGGCATTCTTATTCCTTCTTGGGAATGGAAGCTGCTGTTGCTAGACTTCAGGGGTCGGAGAAGTTACTGTCTCCCTCCAGCCCCTCCGGGCTGGCATCTCTGCCCACTGCAGAGGGAGATGCTACAAGTTGCATGGAAGCTGGCAGAGCTGCGGCTTCCAGGGCTGTTGGCCGCAGTGCCAGCTGACTTTGTGCCTTGCATTTCAATCCACAAGTGCAGCAACAGAAACAAACAATGCTGGGGGAGGGGAAGCCAAAGGGAGAAGAGCAAAGTGCTTTCCCAGCATTGGTTTTACCCTGAAGGGGATTTTTTAGGTCCAAATGATGCTGCTATCAAATAAAAAAAATTAAATAACTTTTTTTTTTCCCCCCTTTTACCACCCTTCCTTGCTACGGCCAAAGCTGCAGATCTGGGACACGGCGGGCCAGGAGCGGTTCCGATCCATCACGCAGAGCTACTACCGCAGCGCCAACGCGCTGATCCTGACCTACGACATCACCTGCGAGGAGTCCTTCCGCTGCCTGCCCGAGTGGCTGCGCGAGATCGAGCAGTACGCCAGCAACAAGGTCATCACCGTGCTCGTGGGTAAGCCACCGCAGGGCGAGCTGCGCCTGCCTTCAGCCTGTGCTTGCAGCATTCCTTCTGCACATAGCCCCAGGATGCTCCAAGGGGTGTTCAGGATGCCCCCCCTTGAAGGGTGGTCCTGTTTGGGGTCTAAGGCTCTTGCATGTGGAGAGGGATGCTTCCCACCATGAGGGACTGAAGTGTAGATGGTGCAGCCACCACCGAGCTAAGGATGGAGCAGTTCCCCTTGTGACTCCAAGCTCAGATCTCCACAAATGAGTGAGGACCTGCTCAGGCTGCTGATGTCTGTGGTTTGCTCTACTCCATAGGTGTGTGGCAACCAGTCCTGTGTTAAGTGGTCAGGATGTGGGAACTGCATCAGGACATGGCAGTTGTGTGGATCATAGCGTTCATAGGTTGGGCAGTGCTGGAAAACTGGATGTTCTTGCATGGATTTTAGGGAGACTAAAAATAAACAGCTAAATGTTATATTAATCTGTAGAGCTTCAACTCAAGGCAAAACAGACCTCAGGCCATCTGTCTGCTACAAGCAAGGGGAAGGTTATTTTGCCTACCAGTGCTTTTCCATGCTCTGCTTTCAGCATCTGATAGTTGGGACTTGGCTTTTAAAGGTCCAAGAATATATAAAGAACAGTGGAAAAATAACTTGGGGAAAGCTAAGAGGTTTCATGCTGCAGTGTCACCTTTAATAGTTTGCTATTTAAATGAAAAAAATCTAGGTCATTGTAAAAGGTGTCTAAAAGTGTATTTTAAAGGGAAAAAAAAATCTTTTGAGTTTAACATGCCCCAGTGCTATTTCAAGTGAGCTATGGGGTTTATGGAGCTTCCATACAAGAAACTCATACTCCATGAGTATCGCCTGGGTACAAATGGTGCAGAAATTATTAATAAATGACTAACAAATGTACATTAATTTTTCTCAGTGAACATTAAGTTAATTGATGGCATCTACAGCACAGCATATAAATCATATTTTAGTCATAACACACCCTTTAAAGATGGTGACACCCATAAATCACTTGTGTTGAGTAATAATCTGTTTAGAGGGGTAACTTCAGTGCAGGTAGTGGTCCAAGACACTGCTTTATTGGGAAAGGAGATCTCGGAGGGGAAGGCAATGAGAGAAGGCTTGCTGGTGGAAACACCACCTCCTCATCCCATGAGCTCTCACATAATTGCTGTTAGGAGTGGGGCCAGGAGAGGTTTCCTCCTGAACCTGCTGAGTCTGTGGACTGAGCAGCCTGTTATTGCAGGTCCTGGTCTGTTACTTTCGTTGTAAGATTAATTTATGGCAGAAACATCATGTTTGAAGTTAAGTGGCCAGCAATAGTGTATAATCATATCAGATGCTGACTTGAGGCTTTAATCAACTCTCTGCCAGATCTCTCTGACCCAAAGGGTTGGTTTCTGACCCCACCTCACTCTGCAAGTGCCTTGCAAGCCCATCCCTCTTCCAGCCTTCACAGCCAAATCCTATACTGGAATATTGAAACAGGGAACCTTCCTTCCATGCCAGGCTTTTTAAAAAGCTTGTAACAACATGATGAATATCACATTTAGTGTCTCATATGCTATAATTGACATTTTAAGTGCTCCTCAGAGCAAGCACAGGAGAATTTTCAATAGATGTTAGCATGGAAATCCTTTAATGTTGGTTGATAATGCAGCAAACAGATGCACTGGTGCTAAATTAAGGCATACTGGCTTGGATGCTTACAGGGCATATTTCATTACATGGGCTGATATTAAATGGACTTGGGTGTTTCAGGGAATCCATTATTTGGAGGGGAGAGCAAGCACTAGGAGTTACATATCCGAACCACTGTCCATACATATATCAAACCAAACTTTTATTTATCCTTTATAGACCTCGGTTTCTCTTGGTTTTGAAATTAACTTTTTTTCTAAAATATTTTATCAATGCAGGTAATAAGATTGATTTAGCTGATAAGAGGGAAGTCTCCCAGCAAAGAGCTGCAGAGTTTTCTGAAGCCCAGGACATGTACTATCTGGAAACATCGGCAAAAGAATCGGATAATGTGGAAAAACTCTTCCTGGACTTGGCCTGCCGGTTGATCAGCGAGGCACGACAGAACACCCTTGTGAACAATGTCTCATCCCCCTTACCAGGCGAGGGGAAAAGTATCAGCTACTTGACTTGCTGTAATTTTAATTAAAGAGATGGCATGTGGTTGCCCCTTCTGCCATGGGCCAGGTGGATTTTTTTTTTCTATGCTGGGATTTATCTACTTGAAGGAGTTCCTGCCAATCAGACCCATCTGGCTTACTCAGAGTCAGGTTACAGTCCTGGAAGCATGGCAGGCTGATGGTTCCAGCTGCATGGCAATGTAGCAGAATACAACAGGGTTTAAATTTCATTTTTCTTGCAGTCTGTGGAGCAGGTCAGGAAAGGAAGAGTTGCACAAGTGCTTCGTGTAATGCAGAACATGAGCTGTTTTGTTTCCTTCTGTGGGAGAGTAGCCCAGCCTTCCTTGAAGATACTGAAGAGATCAAAATGTCTCTTACAGAACAATGTGTTTGATCCTTTTTAAGGTAAAACAAAGTAAGAAAAAACGCAACAATGAACACTGACTTGGGACTGCCCTGGCAATCTTCTGGGCTGTCAGCGAGCGAGCTCGTACGATGTGTACATAACGTCTGCATCTTCATGGAGGACTCTGGTGTTTGAAATAGTGTTATGTCTCTCATCTACAGGCACTTTCATGAACGTGGAATAAACAAAAAAAGTCACATATAGCAGTATTTTCAAGATTGAAGAAGACATGGATACGGCTCAGTCGCTCCCTTTGGTGCTAGCAGTTCAGCAAATATTCCATAGGCCAAATGTAGTCTTACCACATTACTGTCTTCTGAATGTGTAACCTAGACTGGTTAGGAAAAAAACACTAATAAGCACTGTTCATAAAAATAAAATCTCATTACCTCTTTTTCTAGGCCTGAACATAGTGGGAAAGGACTGTGTGCTTCTTTGGTATCCAACAAAGGATGAAAAGACTTTCCAGAATAAAAATAAATAAATAAATTAACCATTCCTCCTCTAATTAGTCATGTCCTGATGTAAAAAGTTAGCCTTGGGAAAGATGATTGGTGGACTTGGCGCAAGTGCACCAGACGTGACCAAAGTCTCGCGCGTGCATGGATGGTGTACAAGGGTTCAAAGGAAGCAGAGTCTGAACTGGCAGTCTGCAGTGTGTGCAGCTGGAAAACAAAGCCTGTAGGTACAGCTCTTGTTGGAAGGCAGGAGAACAGATTTGTAGAGGGTTTGTTTGATGGTAAGTGGAAGTAACAATGGGTTGCAAGTGGTGTCCTTCCATGCTGCTCCATCCAGCTCTCACTTTGTGGAACTGCTGTCAGAGGTGCTCTTGAAGGTCTCTTCTTGGTGTCCAGTTTCTCTGCTGGGACAGCTTTTAGGTTCAGGGCTGTAGAGTAATTTTATTTATCTGATGCTTTGCACCCTTAATCCCAAACTCTGGTACCTGTAGCTGTTTAGGCAACTTCTTCCTACAGAAGCTCTGAAGTGAAAGCACCCTGGAGTTTGTGATGTTACTCCACCTCTAGTGCCATGCAATGCATTGCAAATTTACATGTTGGCATGGAAGCGAAGTCAGAAGATAGTGAATGCGCACATAAACTATTATATTTAGAAGTTTGAGTTCAGTTTAGCTAATCTGGATAAATCTCTCCTGGCGATTACATGGCTGTGATATGCTGCAATTTAGAGTTAATCAATTTAATATTATTTGGCTTTTACTGGAGATTATAACAGAGCTTTTGTATTGACATAAAAAGCTGCCAGTAAGTACTTATTGAAAAAAATAGCAATTAAGAAAAAGAGGCATTTTGAAATGATTTTTTTGTTTCCTGGAAAGATTTTTTTTTTTTTTTGGCTGTATCATGTTGTGCCTTTGATATGTAACAGGAAGTTGACTGTGTCAGAGAGAGGGGGAATTGGTTTGCCATATGGCCATTTTTAATATTTTCTTCCAATTTTTAGGTAATTTTTATGACTAGTGGTAAAACAAAGATGTGGAAGTTGTGGTATGAAGCTTGTTTGTCATTTAGGTAACATTTAGCAAAGAGCTTCTGTAAGTGTGAGGTGTTGGGGGACATGTCATCTGCTGCTCTGCTCTGGTCCATTTCAGCCTCTGCTCATGTTGTAATCCGGAGGATTTGGAAATGTGTGGGACTTGGTGGCTCCTGCTGTACTGGACCATGTGATCTGTGCTGAAGAGCAGTATCTTTTTTCTTGAGCATTCCCCAAATCACCAAATGCAGCTTCATTTGAGCTTGTGAAGAGACCCAACTCCAAGACAGCTGATTCTGCACAGCTCTTAGGTAGTTCTGTAGAGCTAGGCTCAGGGTGTTCCGTGGCAGGTAACACTCAAGTTAAAAATCAATACCATGTGTATTTAATTTGTAGTCAGTCTTAGTCCCTGAAGCTGGACCTGTCAGCGTATAATTGATAGCAAATAGGGCAGGGCTCTTTGATCAGCTTAATCAAGGAAGGAGACTGCCCAATAAAACACCCATGGCTTACTTAGACTGGTTTCCAAAAAGATCAAAGCTGGGCAGGTACTCTTCATCCCTGCCGAGTAGCACTGTAAATGCATTTTAAAGTGCTCCTTGCATTGCTTCTGGAGCAGGAACATGACTGAACAAACTGAGCTGGTCAAATAGCAGAAACTGCTAACTTTATTTTCTTGGATATATGCTTTGTGATTTCTAGAAGCCTAAATCTTTTCCCAGTGCTTTCCTAATCTGTAGGTGACTATTTTGGAGACAAGCTGCCTACCAGCAACCTCAAAACATTGGTTCTTTTTATTGCTAGTGAACCTTTGTGTAAGGACTCCAGACAGTGATGTGCTTTTGTGGTGGGGTGGAGTGCTGTGGTTGGGCTGATGTTCAAGTAAATGACCTGTCTTCTCCAGTCAAATTTGAACTGAATCCTTTCAGCTTTTATTCTGTGTAGACTTAAAAATTTGAAAGGAAGCAATGGTGGTATGTGCAACACTTTTTACACGGTCATAAACCAAAGTTGTAGTTTGAGACTCTGCTCTCTTTCTGCTGTTTGCAAACACACCTCTTGTTGAAGAAGTGGTGCTTTATTGTAGTAACTCCTTTCCTGGAGTTACTTTTGTACATCTCTGAATATCTCTGTAGTGCATACAGCCAAACTTTCCTTGTAGCACTGAGGGCTTATCTTCTGCAGTCTGATCCGCTGCTGAAGGCTTCCCAACTGGAAGAGGAACTTTATCAACTGCAGAGTCTTGAAAAAGAAAAAATCCCAATTATGTGATAATCAACTCTCCAACTAAACACCTTGCTAGATTTTTAGTAAAAGCCTTGTGATGCTTTCTGGATAAAGTATCCAAAACCCATGCAGAATTGATATAATGGGGCCAAATTTGACTGGGAGTGTTCTCTACTATCAGAAGAGCCAAGCTTTTAGTGTGGTTGCTGGATTTTAATGTGTTTTGAGGATGATATATTCACAGCCATGGAGTAATCTTATTTCTGGCTGAATGTTAATTTTTGTAGTAGTCCTGTAATGAGACCCTTTCGTGACATTTTTAGCACAATGATTGTGTCAAAGCAAAAGCCAATACTGGATGATCAACAGCTGTTTGCTTAATCTAGCAAGCCTGTTAGCAGAGATTAATAGAAGCATCTCTAAAAACCGGATGGTCTAACTCTGATTTCTAGTGGAGCCACTGATTCAGTCAGGCTGATCTTGAGTAAACCACCAAACATTCAGTGCTTCAGATTGCTGGGTATGAAGTACTTGCTGTGAAGTTTTGCATTGTGTGTTGACACAGAGTTTGCTGAGACAAGCCATGATTCCCTTCTGTCCATATTTGCATTCCCCCATGAAAATGCTAGGGGACAAAAAACCTAAATTAAAAAAAAAAACCCCAGTCCTTCAGGTCAAAGAAATAAGATGAACAAAGTGAAATTATGAGCTCTGTAAAGAAACAGTATGTTGGGTGCCTCTTCCTTCCTCGAACACTGAAGTCTTGATTTGCCCTCCAGGTAAGCTGTTTGAGCGTGCAGTCAGATACGTGTTTGTGCTGAATGCTAAATGGCTCTGTGATCATTATTTAATGAAAACCACACATGACAAATTAGCAGGCAAGATACTTTGTTCTTTGCTGTAGAACACATGAAACAGCCCCTAAAATCTGTCAGCCTGCTGGTGCTGTTTGTGTTGTTTTGGAGATGGCTGTGTTGGTAGCAGTTGGCTCCTGCTAGTCTAGGTTGAGCAGTTAATGGCTATCGAATTCCTTCAGCCTCAGTAATGCCGGCAGCAGACTGGGGCTGACACAGGAGACAGTGATTTGAAAGGAGGGAAAGTCGAAGTTAGTGATGCAGAAGCACGGTGGGTGCACACACGTGGGACAACAGGCTTTCCAGAGCTTTTGCTGACAAGGGATGCAATTAGAGCCAAATCCACTGGGTTTTGCCTTGTTTGTTATCCCTAAGGACTGCTGTTTGTTCAGCTGCTTTTCCACTTGTCTTCTCTTTTCAGTATGAAGGACTGTCTGTAAATCAGTCTGAAATGTTAAGCTGGCATGATTCCTGCGGTCAGAGACTGAATTCGATTGGAAAATAGGTGAAATTCTCCAGCTATTGAAACAGGCTGAGCAAATATGTAGGATATGCTGCCCTTTGGGAAGCTGTGGTGCCATTGGGGTCAGATATGGCTGGAGACAGTCACAGAAACCCTCTCCCAGCTGTGGGGCAGAAATGAATGCTACAGCCATTTCTGCAATGATTCTCTGGAGTAGAAAATGCAAGTAAAGAGATGGTTACATGTGCTCATTTCTCCATCCCATCCTCTTTTAAAATTGCATCTATAGATTCAATTTTGATTGCTCTGGGCTTTGATAAAGGTTTGCTTTGAAATTTAGTCTGAAATCCTGCATTGCTCTACTTTTAGTGTCAAAGCACCAAATATCCTTATGTGATTGGCTCCTACCAACTCTACTAACAAAGTCCGTTTCTGAGTTAATTCAGTTAGAAAAAGGTCTTTCTAGAGGATATTTTATGAATTCCCAGTGATCAAGTATGGAAATTCTCCATCCTTTTTTAAATGTCTCTGTACATAAGGGCTCACCAGAAAACCCTCTGGAGCCAAAGGAAATACTCTAATCCATTCTAGTAGTGAAAACCCTATTAAATCAACATCTTTTCTTCCTCTTTTTATAAACTTTGTAATCTCAACAAATTTTGGGTTTGACATCACCCTTTTTCCTTGCATCAGTTCTATCCTCATGTTGGTGTGGGTAATAGTTGTTGTAGCTGCTGTTCGAGGATCGTAATTTGGAAGGAGAGTCTTGTCTTATGATGATGAATGGTGAGGAAACAATAGCTTGATTTCTTACAAGCATACAGTGCATCCTAAGCAGAGCAGCCTCAACTGGAACTGGTGATGTCTTTGAAATGCAATCATCCACTTGAGCTGTAGCTAAATGTACCATAAATGTTACTGACCTCACATCTGCCTCAGTTAAGGATTTGTCTTGGCTGGGAAAGCAGACAGCAGGATAATCGTGCTGACCATGATGCAGAGCTCCCAAAGCAGCAGCCGCCTTGCTCTGACTTACCCTTCTAATCACCACCTCACTCACCTGACCCAAAGTTGCCTTTGCTGTACTGAACCATATCCAGCTGGGATAGATCACCAGCTCTTGTCACTCAGAGACGCCATCACAACCTTTCCCCTCATGTGAACGAGCTGTAACTTAAACCAGAAGTAAAAGCTGTGCCATGTGAGTTACAGGTGTGTGTTTCTTTCCCAGTAGGAGCCACATATCCAGAAAAAAATGCCTCATGTCTAAAGCTTGCTCTTTCAAATACAGTCAGTGGGATAACTGGGGGAAGATAACCCAGACAGGGCAGAAAATGAGGTGGCAATGAGTGTAATTTAGGCTGTAAGTGTTGTCAGTGACAAATTAGACTGGTTTTAAGAGCAGAGCCAGGATCAACAGCTCACCTTATCTGTCTGGATGAACAGGAGCTGGGTTTA